AGGCGCAACATTCCGACCCATCCGCCCACCGCAACCGTCCGCCTGCAATAGGCCGCACATCCACTGATACTATTTCACTATTTCATTATCACATTATCACTTCATTTACAAAGTACACTCGTAGTGGCTGCCATGCTGCATGGATAAGGTCTGATTCCATGCGGATGATGGGGCGTGTCCGCGTGGCGTTTGGCACCCCTCCAAACCCAATCTCCGCCGGTTGCTGAAACGAGCTAGTGACAATTGGTGGAAAAGGACTGATACGAAAGAGGTGAAACAAGGTCGCCTGTCGAAAGAAAAAAAAACTGGTTGCAAGAAAAAAAGAACTGGTTACGCACATGGACCCGTGTCTACCGAAGCGGTTGTTGGCATGATGCCAACGAGGGACTCATCCAAAATTGCTTTCTGTCAACCGTGTGTAGATCGAAGGCTTTTTTGAGGGCCTCTTCCCCTTTTCGTCACTTTCTCACTATAAAAAAATACTCGCGCAGTCCTAGGTCAAAATCCCAGGTCGACACCCGCCCAGGCCAATCAAGCCTTCTACCTTCCGGCTATTTTAAATTGGTACGTCTGGGAGGATGGGAACACTGACTCGGCTGACATCGGCTGGCTCCGCAAGTCATTGTATAGGCCACATCGCATTCAATAAGCCACTACGATTCTGAATGGAAGTAGAATGCGTGCCGCATCCCACAAAGGGATTGATCAACGGCGGATACTATCTTTATCCTTCAAAAAGTGCTCTGTTATTTGTGTGCACTGTCGCGACCCTGCACTGCCAACCCACGCCTGAAAGGTGGGATGTTGAGAGTTTTTAAATAGCGCGATCGTTTTCTGCAATGATGTATGCGATAAGGTCATCTATGCAACGGTGAGCGAATTCGGAGCTAATTGCTTTCTTATGCGAAGGTTTTCTCTCTGTCGGATTGTAAACTCGAAACCCCATAGGATTACACTCGTCACACCCTCGATGAAACCTGAGAAGTTAAAAAGATTCACATGTGACTTGGAGTACTGGAGGAGAAATATTTCTGAGAAATTCTTGCTGTTATAAACACTGAATAACCTCCCGCTTGGATTGCCCACCGGAAGATTCTTCACTCCTTGAGTAGTTCCGTCCATGCAAATGAAAAGTGAAAGTGGTACAAAACACGGCTGGTTAGCGGAGAGGGGGGAACCACCAGGCAGCGATCCTGGGTCCCTTTTCCCACCCAAGGCTTAGCTTTGGTAGAGACTATGGCTGCTCTGCGAGTCCATTCCCCGAGTTTGTCAATACTCTAAGCTTCAGCCTCGATTCGGGGAACGGACACCGAGGCACGGCCGCGTGGTCTTCCCCTATTTAGAGCGCAGATAGGAATAACGAGTGGAGCATACACTATGCAAATTGTCGAAAGAGAATGGGGCGGAGTATCCCGGATTCCTGCTGCAGTGGCACGACTTATGGAGTAGATAGCAGCCCGAAACCGCTGCACAGTACTAAACTAAATGCGCTCTCGTCGTCTCATATGCCATAGAGGCGCCAGCACCAGTACATCCTGTGTTCACGCACATACACGAATCTGGACCTGGAATTACTGTAGCACAAGGTAAGACCGAATATTGTGAATGGGAAGGGGGGGAGGACGAAGGAGGGACTAGGTAGCGCGTCTGAGCCATTTCCCCCTAATCAAATTTAGGCTGAGTAGAGATTATGTTCACGAGATATATCCGACAGCGACTCTGGTCGCTTACTTTCTAATCCTTTGCCTTGCTTAGGAGAAAGGGACATAGAGGTGCGACAGGATTCCCCGCTCCCCCTCCTCTCTACCCCTCCCGAACCATGATATTGGACGGGACTTAGGTGGCACTGAGATTGATGGAGAATATGCTGGTCACTTCTGTCTGTCCAAATGCCTCCTTCGCGTCGCTGGCGTTCTTTGGTGCGGGTGCGAATTGCACCACAATTCGGTCGTCCTTCAGCGGGCCGTTCGATCGTGTCACTTCGATGCTTGCGGTGGTGGTGGTGGTGAGGTGAGCTACAAAGAGCAGTGCTGTGTGGCGGCTAATGCATTTTGACGATTCGCTGGTTCTCCAGAAGTAAATCCGCCTTCGTACTTTGCTGAAGCGGAGGATGCACCATTCACAAGAACCGATGGCTGTGCTCTCTAGTCGCAGATTCCCTCGGACCGTGCGTTTTCCCATCTAGAATGCAGTATCGTTAAGAGGATTCCATCTAGATAACAGCATCATTGGCAGAATCCCATCAGGGGTCGTATTTAGTCGCTGGGGTGGGGGTCAGGTAGAGCAGGCGTGACTCATTGTCAGTATCGAAAAACAAGTGAAGAGAGGATGATGAAGTAATGAACCTTACAATCCATTCGGTCATACTGGTTTGCACGGGCAACCTTTTTGTGGAAGTAAAACCTTTCAGTCACCTCAGCGTGGTAGTCGAATGCATGGCGCGACGAAAGAGATCAGTCAACTGCAGCTAACGATCTCACTTTGGGTTGCGCCGCGCATCCGACTTCTGCTCGGGACTCAGGTGGGTAGCAGGGGGCACGCCTTCTTAACAAACCGTGGGAAAGAAGGCGTGAATTTCCCGGATTCGTGGCGATAGTCGGAAGTTGAGTGGCGAACTATGGGTAGCGGCCCTCTTGCTGATGTACCACTTCCGTCCTGCAGGAAGCATAACTTTCTTTAGATATGTTAATAAAAAAGTACGAGGAGGAGGTGATGTATAGAAGAATACTGCTTTCACGGTGGTGGGTCAGGTAAACATTTGATCAGCTTTCGCCCTGGACAACGAGGCCTCCATCTTTTCGGAGTCGGTTGGTTGACACCACATTTATCTAGGAGGATAATATTACCAATCTGTTCATCTTCTAGCCTCCAAGAGTCCTAGCATAGGCCATATGGCTTTCAGAGTGCCACTACAATCATGAATTAATGTTGAACACGTGGCGCATCCCCTGTGGCAGACTTGTGAAGAGAGGAAGAAATTCAAAACTGCCGCATTTGGTCTATGCTTAATTGAACCCAAATACTTCTACCATTCTGAATCGAAGTTGAACATGCAGTCCTTCCAGAGAGGCAAGGAGTCAATGTGGCAGGTCAGTAGTCAATAACTAGACTCAGACTCATCTTTAGCTGCTTGTGTAGGACGACTTGTAGGACAACGGAAGATAGTAACTGTACTGTACTGATATCTTCGAGGCACATTTAGCGATCACCTGAGCCGTAGAACCCTGCATATTTATAAAGAAGCGAGTGACAGTCAAAGAAGTATACCACACATTTGTAAATGGGTGACCACAAAACTGTAAGTTTGCGGACCTTTGATGTTCCTAAGTGCTCCACCCATGGACGCTGCTCGTCTGCGTCCTCTCACCGAGATAGCCAATATCGTTCCGAAATGGTTCATGACTTATTTTGGAGAGAAGTCGATCTCAATAGGAAAAAATGTATGATAGAGGCGCGAAGCGAACCATCAGGGGAAAACATTGAAAAGGCATAATTTCTGCGACATCTGACCCCACGAGGAAATCGAGGACCAAGTCTACATCCGAAATAATCTCGAGTGGTGCTTTACTGGCCTCTAAAACCCAACAAACGCTACCTTGGACAGGAGGCACAAATAAGTAGTATGCACGAGGTCAGTGGCGTATATCGGCGGAAACATCGGACACCCCCCCCCCTCCTTTGTCGCGCACTCGCGCAAGTTCCATCTTTCAGGCAATCACGAAATGTGCATTCAAGAGAAGTTGAAGAAGTTTTATGATTAGTCTTTGACTGCGTAATTCTCTTTCGGAAAGCTCTTACTGTTCGCCTCGCTTGATACGCCACGTACTTAACCTCAACCTTCATTCAGAAAATACTCTACCAGCTCGACCTCTCTGCTCACAAGAGATCCGTTGCGAATGGACGTTTTGCAACCCAGCGCTCAAACTAGTTTAGTGATCATAGATGAATCTTTTTCAAGCGACTCTGAAAGCTGGATGAGCATATGGCATGAACGGGATTCTAGCCTATTCATCTACAAGTCACAGACAATTTCGCTTTTCCCAACCAAATTCCCCCTGCTCCGCTTTCACTAAACGAAACAGACATGACCTGACTGCAGCAGCAGACTGCTTTCAATGGGTAATGAAGCTGGAAGTAAGCATCAATACTTCCAGCGCAGACGCTTGTTCTTATGGGCGGCTTCCAGACCAACTTTGTTCGCTTCCAATTAGCTGTGCGGCTGGCAGACGCAGTCAATTTCAGCACTTTCGCATCATTGAGAAGGACAGCACCCACTACTGAGGAGCCTATTCGACTTGGGAGGGGCATTTCGTACCTTTGCTAGTTCCTTTTGATAACACGTCACACCTTGGTGAGTCCTAAAGATTCCTGCCAAGTGAACGAAGCTACTGCTACTGCATAGCTTCAAAGTAATTTACAGGTCTGCATCGGCGTCCGCAATGGCCGAGGAGAACCAGCAAAATGCCCCCACCAAGCCGACCTGCGCTTATAATTGCAAGGGGCTTCTACTAAGAACTTGCAAAAAAATTATAGAAACTGAGTGAATGTGAAGGGCAGTGAACTGGATAGCCGGAACTATTACCAATATTCATGATTCCTCGTTTTTTTTTGCTTCTCGATAGATTGTGTCCTAACCCACTTTCTCCAAAACGAGTTTTGACCACGCCCCTGCTGCCAAACACGATCATTCGATGATTGCAAAGACAAATGGTTATGGTCAAGATTGAAATGAACTGATTAAATATCACGGAGCCTGATCGCTCAAGAAGGTATCTCGTGACATTTACGCGAGAAACGTATATGAACACATGAAAGACCGGCTGATAGAATTTATAAGAATTTATAAAACGTAACAAAGTCATGTGGCACATATAAAAGTGTTAGCATAAAAATCTATGACAGGTTCGCTACATCTTGGTTAGTACTGTACCTATGATCCCTTGAAAAAGGAGACCTCGGAACTAAAAAATGCATCTATCCCGTCGGCTAGATGAAGTTGATCACACGAATGAAACACGAGCCTGAAAATCGAAATAACTTATTGAGCAGATTTGCAGTCATAGTAAGTATTTAGCTCTAAGACCAAACTCCGCGATAGTCAACGGGGCGGGGACTCATAAACACGGTGTTTTCCTCACCACTGCACCACGAGTTCCGCCTGGGGTCTGACGTTTGTTTATAACTCAGCACTTTCGTGAAAACTGTAGTCATAAAACTGCACAATCTACTTGCTCGAAGGAAAAATACTCACATGCTCTCTCAAAGAAATCTTGGCGAAGATTTGGTCTATTTTCAGCGACACATCAGCCATGGATTTACTTGCGTCTACAGCGGTATGAATGCCACGTTTTTGGTAATAGCCAACCAAAGGAGTCGTCTGAAAAACACCTCTTTTACCCATACTCAATTACTTACATGGGCTCGCTTTAAGGATTGCACTTAAGTTCTCTCTGAAATGCTGAGCAGACCTAAGAGACACGCGAAAATGAGCTTTAGGCTCAACGGAAAAAGCTTTGCAAAAGCCTTCGAAGATGGTTACGGAGGGGCAGCAAAAGCCTCGGAAAATCGCTACGGAATGACGGAGGGCTAACAATAACCTGATACACATGAAGGCACGCCTCGTGAGGATGTGATAAATCGAATGCCTTCGCGTCCGTTATCAGGTCCGCTGTATTAGGGAGGGTTCAGCTTGCGTCAATCAAAAGCTAGATGAAGGAGCAGGACACGCATGATTTTCAGCCATTAGCATCTACATGAACCATTAGTGCCAACACGACAACCCATTAGATATTGAACTACGGCGCTTTTGTTGCTTGAAGCGTCGTGAGACGATTTCGCGAGATTGCTGGTGTGCTTACTTTTTTATTATCAATCGTTTGCTCTTGTGACACACTTAAAGAAATACTATCTCCAGACGGGTAAGCTATCGCCAGTCGTCTCCAAGCTCTGGGTTACAAAAGAGTGATAGCAGGATGAGATTATTCAAGTAAAAAAACGAACAGTTAACGAGGATTGTACCGAATCGCCAAATCCGAACTCTCTAAGCGCTTTTATCGTAGATGTATTGAAAAATACTAAGCAGCGAAGCTATGCGTACCATGGAATGGTAGACAGACAATCGTTTGCGCAGTGCTTCCAAGTTGTCATCGCTACGCCGGACCAGTGGTTCCCCAGTGACATCGTCTTTCATGGGTTCCTGAACTGAACGATGTTCAAAACAAGCACGAACAAAGAACAGGATCAAGACCAAAGGCGGAAGTAGAGTTCAATAAAACACGTACCTTGGGAGGATTGAAATCGGTGTGATAGCTACGGCCACTTTTCAGGTGGAATAACCGTCCAGTAATCCGGCGTTCTAACAAGGAGTCGTCTATTTGGAATTCAACGACGGCATCCAGTGGTTCTCGTCGTTTTTCCAGCAAAGTGGTCGAGCTGAAGAGCTACAAATAAGCAACAGTGATGCTACAAGTGTAGGATAGTGATGTTAATCGTGAGAGGGGGGAGGGGACAGATGACCAAGGTAATATCCACAGGTGAATTGCAAAAGAAAACTTACGAACGTCCAAAGTTCCAAACCTTCCACACCTGATTTCCTACCCAGGTCTGCGTTACCAGCTTTCCAATCTCCACTAGGCTAACCATACTCTCGCCACTCCGATTCACTATATCGAGCTCTGACGGCGTTCCCAGAAGCGAGGCTATTTTGATAGATGGGACGTTTTTGGCGCGGTTCTGCTTGGTGGGGTATTTTGCTGATTCTCATCAATCACTGCTGATGCCTCGAGCGGGAACCTGTAATTTCCTGCATAGCTAGCATTAGCAGGAGCTTCCTTTCCTTCCTGACAATACGCTCATGCTTGGGCAGCATTCGAAGTTTGCTGCTCTCCTGCTGCTGCGAGAATCCGCGACTAGGCTTAGATCCTGCAGTCCCGAAGACAATTGCGTGACTGTCTATACCTTCACCATAGCAATGCCTCCAAGAACTTAGTGTAAAGACCTCGCCATGAAGCACAGATTCGCTACAGTATTTAAAACTCCGGAAAGGGAGAGCCACTTATCCTGCTGGAATGAGCGAAATCACAAAAGTTGATAGAATGTTGTATAAACGAGAAGGCGCAGGCGAGCAAAAAACTGATGAGGTGTAAAGGGCCAGATTTGAGCAGTGTGTAGGCCATTTCTGCAGTTTTGCAATTCGCGGAAAGCCCTTTGTCATCATCTCCCGATCGCCCTTTCTTTTCCATTGCCAAACTCGCTGGCTCTGCTGCAGCTGAACGGAGGGGCACGTGGCTGGACGCAAAAAGCACTAATCTGCGCACAGATACTAGGCCTGAAGTCCAGGTCGCCTGGACTTTTCTTAGGTTGGGGATAAGCGGTCATTTTCTCTGTGAAAGGGCGCAGATATGCGGAAATAGACGCGCCTAGCACGCTTCAACCACAGCAGCGTTAAGTCGCCTGCTTTGATCAATTTCTCGTTCTGTTGTTGCTCAGCCGAGGCTTTTAGCTGGATTTTTACTTCAAGAGAAACCTGTATCGATAGCGATCCTGAAGACAAGCTAACAGAAAATGATGACAAACGCCTTTCACCGCTAAGGGTGTGATCATACTTTGCGGCAGCGTTTTGAGCGTCCACCAGCACGTTTGAGCGGCTGCCGGCGTTTCGAGTGTCTACATCGTTTCCAGCGATAATCGACACCTATACTTTGTTAGTCGCTCAAAATGCTGCCGCAAAGTATGAACGCGCTCTGAATCGTAGCAGTCATTTGCAAACTATAAACGCTGCTTTGATTTCGTATTTGGCACTAGAAGTACTACAACGCCTACAAAAAGTAAAGCAAATCTTACCTTTTCAGCTTGAACAACCGTCCTTGGGAATCCGTCAAGGATGAAGCCATTCTTGCACTCATCTTTGTTCAGATTAACGTCAACCAATTCACAGACCATATCATCCGAAACGAGCTTCCCTTCATCCATATACTCCTTGATTTTCTTCCCGAGAGGCGATCCAGATGTCATTTCGGCACGCAGCAAATCACCTGTGTGACCAGTTCTAATTATTGAACTGCAACTTTTAAGAAAATGCAGCACACCTGTGGACAAATGGCAAGACTGGTACTTTTCAGCCAGCATGGGAGCCTGCGTTCCTTTTCCGGATCCAGGAGGACCAAGCAGAACAGTTCGTATGCCCTTCGCGATGGTCTCGACGGGGCTAGTTACGACCTGCTCTATCCGCTCCGGCTCAACCCGAGGCTGTGCCATCTTGAATAGAAACCAGTATCTTTATAAAATATTGAATAACGGGACGCACCATTAAACACGCAACGAAGAAATCGCGTTTTACCCGAAATCATAATTCAGATGGAGACAAATCATGAAGGAATTCGACAGTCTACTCATGGATAAGAGCAAGAGAAGAATAAACACAGAAAGGCGCAGTTCGGCTTGGTGGAAGCATCAAGTGTACTCGGCCTGAACAGACCACCTTGTGAAGTTCTGTAGAATCTAATAAACAAGGTCTCTCCCTAGTAACGTTTTTTAGCTTCACAAGGTTTTATGTAAGTCAACAAGAACTTAGGAAAAGAACCTGGGTAAGAGCAAAATGTTCCTCTCAAGCCGAACAGCGCCTGCAAAGGATTTTGCAGAGTAGTCAGGCTCGTAACTTGCCTTAAGTGTTGCTGAGAATCAAGTAATCGTTAAACCCTTGTTAGTTATTTACGGAGATAACAATTTTTACCTTTTTTTATTTACGGTAGAGTAAATAGCTGAGGTCGCGCTTATTCTTATGCCTTGCATACTTTACGTTTCGGGAGAGCAGGAAAACAGGAGAATGTCCTGATCTGATTTTCGGGCCAAATGTATAGATGCAAATCTATCGAGGCCCAATAACCTTAGAGGGGCAAGACTATAACATATGGCTTGGGCCAGTCGTCTTCCACCAACTTTCGTCGCTTACCCGCTTCAAGCCGGGGAAGGGGTGCGGCCCTGCGCCAAATCTATCCTTCCTGGCATGCCTCTTTATCCGCAGCGAACAAGACTGTACTGCACTTGAAATTAGTTCATCCAACCGTGCTTCGACCGTTAAGCTCACGCAAAAGTCCTTATCACCATCGAAATAGTTCTAGTTTCACAAAAGGAACCCTTCAAACGCCTACACCTAGGTTATTAGCGCCTCTAGCCTGTGGTCGTTAGCGAGTCGAGAAAGTAGGAGGAAAGGAGAGTCGGCGATTAAGAAGATTCGTGCTAGCGACCGGAACCGATCGATTTCTATTCACTCCTTCGGTGCGCATTCTCCCAAAGTGTCGAACCGCCGATTCTCCTAGTCTCCCAAGTCTTATCTTCAGCAGCTGGCTCCCTTTGTTTGGACGCAGCCTTGACATTTTTTTAGCCCACATCAGTTCCACCCTTATTCAGTCGCTAGGGGCGCAAAGGAAGGAGGGAGGGTTCAATCGGGTCCCGGAGAGGGCCTGCACTGCTAAGATGGGTGTCAGAACTTTAAGAAAAGACAGATTTCCAATTATTTTTCCGTTTCAGTTGTACTTTTTATCTCTCTGTAGAAAACCATTTTTTTGTACCAGTAGAAGGGAACAGTGATAAGCCGGTCAGGAGAGAGGGAGGGAGTGTTCTAATGGGAAAAAGCTTTCCTCCACCGCCTAGTGTGCCCTGATATACAATTTGGTAGGCGAAGAAATGTGTTCACATGTGTTAGCTGAAAAAGTGCTGATTTTATGGCCTACTGTTGAAGGAACAATTTTCGCTGGAACATCATCAAACGACTGTTGGCAAACAAGCTTCATCTGTTCAAACACATGGTCACGGAATGAAACATGGAATCAATTCATGAAGAAAAAGAACAACATGGGAAATGACGTCATCGTGTGCGGGAGCACAGTAGTCTTTCCAAACGTTCCGCACCTTTTCACCTTCACAAGGAATCATCTTCAATACAGGCCGGTCTAGACGCATTTAACATTCTCACAATTATGGGAGAGATGGAATTCATTTCGCAAATAATGTATGAAGGTCACTTGAAAATCCATTGTAAGGACGCCGGAAGTAGGCAGTAGCCGAGGCACCGCCCCGACTCATGAGCCCCCCTACATTCGTTTCCTAACCACATTAGCCAAATGAAGGTGCATGGCATAAATCTGGCATGGTCAGTAAATCTGGCACAATCATTGAAGAACGCCCCAAAAATCATCTAAGATTCATCAAGGCCGAAAGAGAATCGATTTGTTGGCAAAGAGTCAGTAATCATGGGGAACTCGTTTAAGTGCTAGTAACTCGTACAAACTCATGAGAGGTGTTATTTAAGGTGCTCTAGACGGTTTCTTAAGCCATTTACTTGACTGTCGTCGAGTAATTTAGCATCTGAAAATCAAAATTTTCAATCATCACCCACGCGACCATCGTGAAATGTGCCCCTAACAAAGCCTTCAGCCACAAAACACGTGTCTCTCAAGTGATCAGTAGCACAAGAACTGTTCCACATAGCATTTTCGAAACGCAGTTCCTAGTAACCTCTGGAATTCCCCTTCCCACGCGAATCTGTTAAGCCAGAATGATCGATTTCTTTTTCCCGGGCCGACCGATTGACGCCATACGACGTGATCAAGCAATACAGGGCTATTTGAAAGATGGCGACATCGTAACCCATCAAAGCGATTCTGACGATCCGAACAAGGCCAAATTTCCATTCCATAGTACTCAGATCGGCAGGGTATTCAAGCTGAGGGGCTTAACCCGACAAAACGTATCGATCAACCCAGCAATTGGTGGTATGATACGAAGTAAACCCGAGAAACCTTTCGATGGTAACATTATCAATAAAAAGACGAAAGTGCTGTATATTCTCACAAATGCTTCAGTGCTATAAGTGGAACAGCATGGAAAGAACGAGAACGCGATAACAATCTCGATAGGCAATCGGAGTACGAAGATTGAAGAACACGTTCAAGGTTAGCCGCTTGACATCTTCGAAAACTGGAAGCGCTTAAATAAGCAATAATTATAATAAAGAAGGTGGAGACGTAGTTGAGGGCCATCACGACCGAACTTTGCGTCCCTTCCCCTAAACCAAGGGCAAGATCCAGAGCGCAGACGATCAGAGTCGCCACGGTCTAATCTAACAGAACAGACTACCCCTCCGCGACTCTGGTCACCTGTGCTCTAAGCCACTGCTTTAGTTACGAGGAAAAGACGCAGAGACCTTAAGCGTGGCCCAGCTAACGACACTACGACTCGAATAAGTGAACCGTGAACTTGTACAAAGCTCAGATGTGGTAACCAATGATGGTACGCAAGATAACAAAAGTTGATAAATTATCAGCAAAGGTGATAACAACTCGAGCTGTCCCGATTTCACTAGTGTAATCGAAATTCAGTACGTTAGATCACTGTCTGAACCCTTATGCTAGTTTATGGGAATTAGGATGTGCTGACAGCAAGCTGGACCCAGCGCTGAAAATGAATGTCATTTAACAAAGCTCTCGATTCCAGACCCATTAGTTGGAGGTTGGGCGGAAAACGGAAGAAATGTTCGAGATCATAGCACACAGAATCTCAGGAACTATCGCTTCTTTGACATTTTGGGACTGTAAAGATCAAAGAGCGTCCCAAATTAACATGCAGCAAGGTAGAGTGTAGCGAATGATTCCGTGCTGGAACTGCGGCGGCAGATTGCTTTGGCCCTTTGCATGAGAACGCGGTGTAACAAAGATTTTCTGCGTGCGGAAGTCGACTGTTTTTAGCAAGATCCATGATCAAAGATGAATCGTGAAGAATGAAAATGGCTTTTGACACTTTGTCCCTTGTTTCTAGTTTATGAGAAGGAAACGGAATGCTACTAGAGTTACAATTGTACGCATCGAGACCAGGCTGTTTCCACTCTAACCGTCTGGCGCTCTTCAGGTCTGAGCCTGTCGATGGAGGAGTCTATCTCGGCGGGAGGACGCAGACGGGCACTGCTGTGTAGTCGCATCCCCCTCTCCTTTCCCGAGTTCAGTAGCACGGAAGGCAAGATGAACAGTGGCTTCCGAAAGGAACGAGACAGCATCTAACTGAGATGAATTAGGCATCACACCTTTACTCACAATAATTTCTCAATCTTCACGATAATACCAAACGCTAAACTCCTACTGAATGCGTCAACTTCACCAAAAACTGAATAAAAAGTTTTCGAAGTACCATTTCAGATATTGAAATTTCTCTTTTCCTCGGTTTTTAACTAACCCAGCGATTTTTCATTTTTTGCAACTCAATGATTTTTCATTTCTGGGATTGATTCTGAGCTTTGAAAAACGGACCGCAGAGTCAACCACTGTCAACAAAACCAAGACTGGGACCTGGAGAGCCTGCGACAAAGAAAAGACGGAGCATATGCTGGAAGAGCAGGAAAAATATCGATTCCGCCGACTCGGCCCGAAATGAGCCTATCTGAATCTCTTATTCTCCTGATCTATATGTAATAATCGCCAGAGTAACGACGGAATGAATTTCCTTCTTTTTCATCGTGCGCCCCACTTTGTAGCTCGGCCCTTATACGGGTTTTGTGATGCCAGTTCTCTCAGTTGAATGCTTGGTCTACTATCCTCAATTCCGTATGCTGTGTGTCCATCCTCTTTCCGGGAGCTTTCCGAGCAACTCGGTACCGGTCTTACAGGCGGTGCCAGCCTTTGCGCGAAGTGCACAGTCAAACCATCGAAGGCGAGCTTAGCGCATTTTGTCAGCTACGAAGACTAGCGAGTCTCGTGTATGCCATCATTGCAAACTTCGTCCACAAGCTCATACCTTTTGAAATCAAGGGGATCAAATAGTCGGCGAGCCGTAGAATTCAGAGAATCGGATAAAGCACGAAAGGAATCGTACGCGTATCGAACAAGAAAAAGAGGAATCATCGTCGATTCTCGACATCGATACGTTTCACTTATTCCTTCGCGACTGTTTCTCGCGAGTCTTCTCATAACAATTCGTGATTCGCGTGATTCTCGCGATTCTCGGCGTTCAAGGCGATGAAAGCGGCCTGAGTGCCAGACTAAAATATTATCCCTATCATGGATACATCAACGGCACTGCCGACTCCGTTGCATTTATTAACATTCCTTCTCCATAGAACGTTGACTCAACTTCGAAAAAAATGGAGTATGGATATGTCATGGCTGACATGTAGCCAAAGCGCGTACTCACGACTAGACGAGTGATGAGCCGGTCTTGAAACTGAAATACACCTTCAGTAAGTCTTTTACAAAAAAACAAAAATCAGGGCTGACTTATTCGTGCGTTCTGGCATCATTTGCCTTCTTGTTTTACCGGGAGGAAATATCCAATCCCTAGACTGCAGTCAATCAATGTGCAGGTGAGCTCGAATCTGGCTGCTGCCCATGGAATAGCCCACATTTTCCAAGTTAGGTCGAAATATTAGATTCGGCTCCAGAACTTTGTCCCCAAGGGTAATTTTACCCGCTGAACATGAATATCATGATATTCTCATTGCAAAAACCCTCGTGACACGTGTTACGAGGGGTACAAGCAGAAGCACTCCTTTCAGGCCACAATGAGTCTACACTTAAAAAAAAAAACTGGTCGCAGGTTCCCTTATAAGGTAGTGCAGGCGAGCAGAGATGTTAGAAGCTTTGTCGGCTATGTCCTTGGACAAGTGCAAAAAAAGCGATTTGCCCCGGAACCGATCCTACGACATCTCGCCTAGGAAATCCGTTCGCTACCCGCTGCACTCTATTGCCACGTTTCAGAACGACTCCATAAATGTAAAGACGCTTCCACGTTTCCTCGCGATAGCATGCGAAACAACCACGCGGGGATAAAACCCTCCATAACTCCGTTCAGAAAATCGTTCCGCAAATTCCGAACGTAGATTCGAGTTCACTGTCCCAAGACGCGTACAACGTGTGCAGTTCAATTGGGAATGGCCGGCTGAACGCTGTTTCCCTTTCCTGGTGAGCTCAAAAAGGCACATCACGCGCGCTCAGAGTAATTCATGGTCGTCCTTCATTGTGCAAGTAGTAGTCCAGCTCCGAACCTAAGAGACTGTCCCACACTCGCGACTCCACAGTGAGCGAAGAGCGAGCGGAGGGCCGCTCAGTTGTTTGTTATTGGGGCGGCAGTCATTCAGGAGCACATACAGTGTACAGAGTACATACATACATATACACAGTCAACTGCAACCCATCTCGCAAGGAAAAACGCGTAAAAACCACGAGTGATGCAGTTTCCTTGGTGCAAAAGCTCGACGCACTAAAAGCTACCGTAGCTCAATTCGTACGCCGAGTTTCTGAAAGCTTCTTTTTGTCAAGAGTTTTCCGTCGGTGTTTTTGTTGTTTTTCGTAATCTTTTCTTTGCACTGGATGATATCTACTACTGGAGATGCGAAAAAGCGATTTGTGAGCCAGGGGCTGCACAGAGACGTGTGACTGTCAGGGAGCGATTTTGTTTACGGTGCTATTGAAGGTCCCTCTTGCTTTTTTAGGAATCACTTGCCTTCAAAGCGCACACTATCAGAGTCGCAGAAAAACTCTGCTCTGCGAGGTTCACCCGCAACCTGGTCGTCAATGCGTTCATACTTCGCGATCCGATCGCGCGAGATCAAGGCGATCGGATTGCGAGGTATGAACGCGCTCTAAGCCCGTTGGAGTAGTGCAACGACATCAGTATCTAGCGCATTACTTTTTAATGGTCCACGGACCTCTATACCAGCGCCTATTTTCCGATTTTTGCGAGAGAAAAGCACCAGGAACTTGTGAGTTTTTTTTGCAGAAATTAAAGGAAAGACAACTTGTATTCCAAATTCCATTTTCTAACAACCACACTATTTTAAAATGGAGACAAATAGCGAAGTGCACTTATAACTAGTATCGTAAAAAGGAATTCATAAAAAAACACCTAAATATTTGAAGAGAGAGTTATGCCAATAAAACCATCCGCCAGGCCACAAAGCTCCTACATTCAATTAATTCCGAGCTGATAAGCTGATAAGACAAAAAGGAAACCCAGTGGCGCGGCGATTGTCCCACTTCCATTCGGTGCGACATGATACTCAGGCGAGACGCCTCGTACGCAGCTAAATTTCAAACTATCGGCAGTTCCGAAGGAGATCGTTCTTTCTCGTTTTTTTGATCTTCTCTGTAGTTTTTTCTATCACCCTTGTAGATCGAGAGAAGCTGGATTTCTCATAAATCGACCCGTTTTCACTGTGTAGTCCGGGCTTTTGGATTGCTTACAATTCATTCATGGGCGCGAAATGCTCATTTTTCAAGAGTATCGTTTTCAGATGGGTGACTCTTCTAAAGACTCGTCCAATGAAATGGAAGCAAAAGATAAAGAAAACGTACAACAGGGTGATGCAGCTACTTCCACGTTAACTTCGGATTTGGAGGAAAAGGGTTGGTTCAAAGAAAGACAGATTTTATTCCACTTGTTCTTTTTTGAAGTTTTTGCTTCGTCTGTTGTCTACGAACACAAATATCATGAGCCTTTCAAAAGGGTTCTCGGAACGGGTTTGAAGGGTTTACTCTGACTTAAAATCTAGTTATATGGACCCATTGCATTTTCGAAACAGAAAATCCAGCAGTTAAAACCAACTTTAAATGCAGTAAAGTTAGCGATTTGCACAAGCTAAGCAAGTAAATCTCTTGAAAATCCAAAGGAACAACTATTAACTTTCCCGATTCATAAAAGGTTCGACTGTGCTGGTCGTCTAGTCTCTAAACCTAACAGTGAGCCTTCTGGGGGAAGAGAGACAGAGGCACGACTGAGTGGTCCTTCCCCTCCCTCACAACGACCGAAACGCCCCAAATGTCGCTTATCATAGAGAAAAATTGAAGGAATGCTGAGCAGGACGCGACTTTCTTGCCATTGTTGTTGGCGTGTCATATTATGAGACCAGTGTCAAGGACGTGACATATTCTAGCGTACAACGTATTGAGCCAGCTTGTGCCACAGCCTTTTTGCACTGTGCAAATTGTATTCTTCCTAGAACTGAAGTTTGACCTTGCTCTACACCCTGCTCAGATGAAGATTTTCCAATTAAGAGAGCACTACCGATCAAAATGGTTGCGACGCAGAGGAACTGCTAACCATACAGGATATCATTGACGACGAAGCGTCCTGCCGTGAAACTGCCCGGGTTTTGCTCGGGGCTCAAGACTCATCCGTATGCACTTATCCCGAGGTCTGCAAAGCTTATTTGTTTCACTTACTACCAAGTTTATGCATGAGTAAGATGCCATCTAGTATATTTAGGGTTATAAACCGCGACAAGCGCTCTTTGCTTGTCTAACGTGTGCATCAGATCCGGAGAAGAATGAAGCTGGCATCTGTTATGGTTGTTCGTTGCATTGTCATGAAGATCACAATATTGTGGAGTTATTCACAAAGCGTCGCTTCAGGTATGATTTCCAGCATTTCACATGGATATTTTAGAAAATAAATTGAAAAGTGCTAGGATTTGAGGGGAGGCGAAGGGTGCTCATTTGTTCGAGCGGTTTTGAAATCCTCCAGCAGCAACCGAGCCTCATCATAGGCAATCTCACGGTCGTGATCGGTAACACTCTCCGCTTTCATCGACGACACCCCCCCCCCCTTGAGCTGCGTCTTTTGTGGGATATTGCCGACAGGTGAAAATATCCCGCGAGAAACATGTCGTACGCCATGCAACATTCTCTCTGTCATCCGAATGTGGAGTGCAGAAAGAGTTCATTAACGATTTGTCGACGCTACGCTTTTTGCTTTCAGATGCGATTGTGGCAATAGTAAGTTCCAGAACAAATGTACACTATTCGAGGCAAGTAAAATTTATTTTAATAACTTTTCTTGGATATTTCTTGTGGTGTTTACATTTTCGATCTCGATAACTTATTGTATGCAGGAGAAAGATGTTTCCAACAAGGACAATCAGTACAATCACAATTTTGCTGGATTGTTTTGTGTATGGAAAAAAGACGTATCCTTGTGATGAAATAGATGAAACAATGCATCAATGTGTGGCATGCGAGGATTGGTTCCATCTATCGGTAGGTTTTTTCTCCTGCCAAATCTTAGCTCATCAGTACGGTTTCTCCACAGGAAGCTACCACAAAAAGGCAGCGTTCAGACTTTGCGATGACGCGCGTTGTCGCGTAAGCATTGCAACTCCAATGGTAAAGACGGAACGCAGCCACAGGCTGGTGCAGATCGGTTGCGGACGCTAGTGTTCTAAGAGGGTTCAGAAGATTAGAAACTTCCCTAATCGCTAAGTCTGGTACACCCTCCTCTATTTCATCATTCCCAAAATGCTAGCGGCCGGCGCTTATCAATACCATTTTATGGCCGCGTTCCTATGCGCCATTGCAATGGTAGTGGAACGATCAGCGTTATCGCGAAGTCTGGACGCTGCCCAAGGTGGGGACCTTACCCTGTTCTCTATCCTACGTTTTCAGCACCTAGACGAAAATTGCGCTACAGTAGCTGAGGAACGAGAGAAAGCGGGACAGCAAGACTTCAGTTTGGTAAGTTAGTTCGCTACCAAAGTTGAGACTGGGTCAGAATTTGAAGCCATTTTTGTTTAGCTTTGCAAGGACTGCGCCTCTCGGCTCCCTTTCCTGTCTCGGTTATGTATCGATGAAGCTGGTGAGGGTACAGTGTGTTTCTCATCAGTCCCAGAGACGAAAGAAGGACCATTTCTGCTTGCTGACGGTTTCCGCACCCGCTTATGTCGATGTGAGGAATGCGTGGTACGTGCTGTTTCGTCTTCCTCCCATCCTTCGATTTTAGAGTTTGTTTGAGTGTAAACTCGATTCGTTTAGAAACTTTACGAACGCCTCGGATGCGAGTTTTTTATCGATCCTGAAGATGATATCGAAGAATTCACGAAGGAGAACATTGAGAAGACAGCAGACGAGAAGGAACCGGACGCAGACGCGATAGTGAATGAGATTGTGCAGACTGCAGGAAGAGATGTCGCTATACATGTACTACAAGGTGAACTTCTTTTTTGAACTTGTAAACAGTTTTACTCAAAGATGAAGATGCTTTTGCCATCCGTCATGGTCCGTAAACTTTTGTACTGGTAATATTCCTTCAGGTATCAACGCTCTCAAAAGGAACCTGCAGAATTTCATGCGTGAAAAACAAGAAGAAGGCGTTTGTGTGATCACTGCTGAACATATCAATTCATTTTTCGACAAAATCAAGCGCAGCCGTACTGAAGAAGCGTCGGGAGATGATTTTTGAGCCATTTCAATAGGTTTGTTTACGCTTTTCGTTCTGTTCAGAAGAGAATCGTAATTTCTCCACATACCTTAGCGCTAAGGCGGTTCAAACTTCGCGGCAAAAGCGATTTGGAAAATCGCGATACTGTGAACGATCGCGCTCCACTGCTAATAATTGTAGCCCTGCGACTGCTAACTCAGAACACAACGGCGTTTTTCGGCCTGGGGGTGGGGGGAGGGGGTGCGAATTTTTGCTAGTTCCTTCTGCTACTCCTACTAACAGGCATCATCTGGGTAAAACCTGCGGACTCGTGTGAAATGGTGAAAGTAAGCCATTTTGCTAACGAGAATTTACAGGTCTTCAAAAGTTGACCTCTACGAGTTTTGCTGGGAACCATTTGGTGCCCCCAGCAAGCCGAACTGCGCCTTCAAACTTCTATTGATCGTTTGCAGTTGTCCAACGATTAGCGTTGGAACGCGGATCGTATTCGCTAGATTGAATCGATCATATCGTGAAGTATGAACGCGGTCTGAGAGGGTTGTTGCAAAGTCCTTCGATCTCCATTTATTTCATATTCATGTGTTCATATTCTTCTTTATCAAGTGTCCTTTCCATTGAACAGGGTTTCTGAACTGAACTGAACTAGGACCTGCTTCCTAAATTGTGTGAACCCCTACGGTCCTATTATGTTGTTGTTTCTCTCTGGCGTCAGAAATGATGTGGATTGGCATCGCGTGATAACGTAATAGATAAGTATGCGGTGCTAAGCGCTCCTCAGAAGGTTGCTAAGACTTGCAACGCGCAGTTATTATGCCCCTTCCTATAGTTTCATCATTGAAGGTGGTACCTTCTCTGAGACAATTCAAGGCGCAATATGGAAAGTTTATTGAAGAGCATTATTTTTAGATCATTTTACCGCTTACTGAGTTGACCCAATTCGAAAGAGTGGGTAGCTGAATGACGATATTGACGGCGTCTCTCTATAGCATGACCGTCATCTGTATCATCTCCGCTAAACAGTGGAGTCTCTGGAAGGCGTCGTCGCCGAATCTGAATATAGACTTCTAGTATTATAACCACAGCAATTCTTTTTTTATACAAAGCTTTTGAGTGTAGTCCAGGAGATCCGAGTTGCGGTATAATGCACAAACAAGCTGTCGCTAGCTAGTTGATCCAGCAGATTCCTCTGGCTTCAAATAAGTTGGATCAAAGTAGCTCACATCTTATAGCGTTTATTTTATGGCCTTATCTGTCGCTGTACAACAATTGCTTCTCTTCATTTGAAGTTCTGAGGAGGATGTCAGAACAGATTTAGTATTCCAAAGTAAAAACCGTTGACGAATGAACGTGGTAGGACTGTGATCCTTTAAAACGCAAGAAAGCACTTTCCAGTAGTCGCTCAGGCAGCGTTCAGACTTCGGCTATGGTGACGCGCTGTGAAGCAGCCAGCGCTACCACCGCTACCACTATAGAGGAGAACGTAGCCGCAGACCGGGAATCGACCGACGTTGGCTGGTTGCGTTCTGAGAGGGTTTGAAAACAGGAGGGTAGGCGCTGCCTTCACACAATCTCGCACCTCCAACATACTCTCTCTAGAAGCACTGCGGCCGTGCCGACCGATTGCCGTCTGCAGCTGCGTTCGGCATGTAGCACTGGAGTGCTGTTGCAATTCTGGCGCGCTAACGCGTGTCATCGCGAAGTCTGAATGCTGTCTTAATGAGAAAAGGCCATAAAGAAAACGGTGCAGGATGTAAGCTGGTGCCTCTTACGTAAAGAGAAGGGCGTGCGCTGATGAGAAAGGACTGTGCCTATAGATCTCCACCCCATTATCGTGAAATGTGAACACTAATCAACTATCTTGAATACTCAGTTATTTTCCTCTTTTGAATTAAACTGTTCTGTAATTGTACCGACCTGCATTTCTTGTCGTATGTTTCTTGACGATGACATAGCAGGTACGCTGCGTTTTTGGGTGAGTGCGCTTAATCGTCGCTCAACCAAGTGCACAGAAGTGGTATCGTTAATACTGGGACAAGAATCTGTCCAGTTTCGATACATTCCTCCATTATCTGCATCTTGCAGGCTTCGACTACGTCCCCGATCTGATGGCTGAACTCGTTTCGGTGGCGGTGTGCCAATGGGAGTAGCGACATCTCGTTGTAGAAATCCTGTAAAGACAGTACTTGTTTTTATTTGTATTTTTCGGATTTTTTACTCGTCTCATCTCGACTTTTGATTGTTTTCTTCTTCTTCTTAACATATGTCAATCGATATCGTTTGCTATAAAAAGCATATGGTCGTTCCCGCTTCAAATGCTGGGGCGTGTCCTTGGGCAGTAATTGGCGCGATGCCAACGTGTTTTCCACCAACTGTTGAAGATGCGAGCGACATTAATTGGTGCGTCGCGCCAAACTCACCCACTCTCCCCTTCCCTCCTGTGTGCGCCCGAGCCTCTGCAGCGAAAACGATTATCTTATTTGCTTCTGCTCTGCTCTTATTCCTCTTATTCTGTTATTCTATACAATTGGCCCACTTGCTTTTGCAACAAGTAATTCCTAAAATCTTGGGAAATTTGACACCTTTTGTAAAAGTTGACGTCCGTTTCTCATTGGGGTTCTTTGGAAGTAAATCACCAGTCTTGTTCTTGTTCTGTGTCCTTGAAAAAGATGCCGCTCCCCTGGGAAGCGTGGTCTCGGGTAGTGCTGTGTTGGGAGGGGCCCATACTCACAGCGACCGATTTTTTGTACAAGACTGGTTCAACTATTCAAAGAATTCAAAGTATTTGCTTACCGTTTCGTATTCTGTCAACTAGAAAAGAGACGAGGATATTGGCAGCGCGAAGACTTTCGCGATGTCGTTTCCATCCTTGATATTCGCGTATCGTCTCCGTTATGGCCTCACCTAACAGGTCCCAATGTTCTGTCTGTAAATATCAAATTTTTGAAAAGTTCTGAGCGAATATGCAATGACATCTCGACTTTTGGCCTCAATGACCTTGTTCTGTTATGTGACAAAGTGAACGGTTTTAATAATTAGAGTGCGTTCATATTTTGCGTTAGAATTTTGAGCGGATAGGAAGGTATAGGTATCGATCTAGCGTGTTGAGCGTACGCCAGCGTTTGGGTGTTTCGCGGGCAGTCGCTGAAAACGCTGGCGCAAAAGTATGAACGCAGCTTTAAGTGTTAGAGGTGCTTAGAGGTTTTACAGTATAGCATAACAGCCTATCAAACTGACCTTCATTCCCATTGCTTTGTATTTCCGGTGTTTCAAACCGATTTCATGGCACTTTTCTGTAATCATTGATGGATAGTCTAGATGCGAGATGACTGAAAAAATAACCCTTCAAGATCTCTGTTATCCACCTTCCATATATCATCATCAGCATTATCACCATCACTCATCGTGTATATGTCATTACTGGTTAATAAATGCTAGAGAAGGATTCTTTGCTGTTATTTCTTCAGAAATGCTGTGTTCATTTGATACTTTGGAAGCCGAAAATTCGTTGACTTTTAAGATCACATTCCTTTTCTTCGTCACTATTCGGGTTGGAGTCGGAGGGGTGTTATTTAGTAGTTTTGCTTGTTCCACTTGCTAGCTCAGATTAACCGGCAAGTCTCACTTTGGTGAGATCTGTGAACTCTTGTGAAACTGCGGAATGATACGAACGAGAAACCTCGGTTACAGGAATTTAGGAGCCATTTAAAGGCTGCTTTGTGCAGATTTGAGGATTACCGTAATGCAAAACCCCCGCTTTGCACAACAAATTTGATTTATTGATCAAAAAATCAGTGAAAACATTTGATGGTTGGATTCTCTAGCGAAGCTTTTTTCGCATTCTCGCGCGATCACCCCAATGTTCTACCCCTGCGCACCGTGTGCGCTCATTGGATTCCCGCCCCAGACGGCCACGCCCCTTTTTGCTGCGAACGTGAATTCTATTTACTTGTTTTCACAATTTCAGTATATCGCATGCATGTTACATTGCAAGAGTCAAGTGCGTCACATAATGATAACTCGACTCCGCCCCCGAGAACTCCACCCACTTGTTAGAGAATTTATTGAAAACTTTGCTGCATTATAACTTTATTTGCCGACATCCTTTTCTAGTAGACTTTTCACAGATATAATGAACATATAGAGTGCAATTTCTAAACTACCTGCCTGAGCTCCATCCTCGGCCACGCCCACATTTATACCTTTCTGGTTTTTTCTTTGAAGGAATTCTATATTAAAAATATTGGGAAAAATTCTTCGATAAAACGGTTGATCCTCATCTTCCTCTCTCCCTCCACCCCGCCCTAGTTCTGCGCAACAACGTCTATCAAATATTCTTCGCTATATGACTTGCGTTGAGTCGTGTTTTAAGATGGGACAACCCTCAGAGACCGTCACCATTGCTTTCTTTTGGTGCATTACCGCCCTTATTGCGTTATTTGTCGACAGTGTGAATAACGAGAGCAGGAAATTGTGGCGGAAGCGATAGCGCAATTCTTGTCCGACGGGTCCAATTAGCGCAATATTACACTTTTTTACTTTCTAATTGTGAGAAGCAAAAGGCAAAATCACGAAGAACAATATAAAGAACGACACCCTTTTCAAATGTGGAGGTATCAGCCATTTCGATCCTGGTTCGCCGACGAGAAACCGATTAAACTGGAATCCAATTGAACGCGATTGGGAACCAGTTTTCCGGATCGCAGCTGATCCAAGATTCACACAGTATGCCTAACCAATTACTACATCGCAAATGACGGATGCAGTTCGGCTTGGTGGGGGCCTCCTGCTATTTCCCGTCAGCAGTCGCCGATGCCTCCTGTAGACCTGTAAATTCATGCGGGGCTGCACAATGGCAGAACCCTAGTTCATACTTGGCAACATTCTACACGTCTCACCAAGATGAAACGTGAAATTCAACAGGAAAAGAGAAAGTGCAAAATGCACCCCCCCCTTAAAAGCCAAGCAGCGCCCAAATGCTCACTACACGGTGACCTCTCAATCACTTGGACTTCTCTCCATCTATTATTCCATATAATTTCATCTCAAGCGAAAATGGAAAATTCGCTTTTCTTTCCGTTCCTTAATAGTTTCACTTTTTCCGAAAGGTATAGGTTTTCGAGTTTCAGTAATATCACGTTTATATTTGCAGTGGTCTCTATATCACATGGTGCCCCCCCCACTTAGCCGAACTGCTCCTAAAAGAAAATTTGTTTACTTACCGTATTGCAAAAATTGTACAATATCCGCGTAGTGCTCCTGGACATTGTGTGATTCTTGACAATTCGTCTCAAGTAGTCCACCAATAAGGATGTTATGGTGAAATACGTTTTTGATACGGTCATTCCGTATGAACAGTCGGCGCATTATTGTGCTGCCACAGTTGCTGTGACCGGATTTACTCATATGTCGCCACGTCGTCCGTAAGATCACTTTCTGAAATGAAGAGGAATAAGCCGGAGACAGGACACGTCCTGCCGTGGGAGAAGTTCTAGAAAAAACGACCCCTCCCTTCAAATCATCTCCTTTGGAACGACTCCTGTTTCTCATGGCCCATTCTACCTTCCATCTTCCGGAATTTTCCGTTTTTTTTCGAAAGTTCTCCTGTTCCTCCAAAAACTGTCATCGAGCGGCGGGTGGGGTGGGGGCGATGTCTATGTAGCGCACTTGTAAAAGAAAAAAAATCGGTAAAAGTAAACAAACGAAAACGTCCTACTCAAATTCAAGTACAACACTCCTGCAGCGACCATTTACGACCCCCTCACTGGGAATCCACAAGATATGATGCGCCCTGGCCGAAGAGTCCGTCGTGGAGCGGACGGTAGCCCTTAGCATAGCCCCACTGCAAGGACAAGTGCAATGAAAAGAATGAAATGTTGGCCTCTGCCAGCTCTATCTCCCATGTGGTGTGGAACAATCAATCCAAAAAGA